ATATTATTTCTGAAATTGTTTTTCCGCGAGAACTTTGAAAAGTTCCTTCATAGAATTTTTTTATTCCTACATATTCGCGTCCCACATATTTTTTGGGGGAAAAGAATCTTTTAACAAAAAGTTGAAAGCGGATCAAAAGCTACTATGATACGTACAACAGGAACGGAATGGAGGTATCGGAGCGATTCGTTTTTGCTCTCACCGAAGATCATAAATCAGTAACGCACCGTCTGATTCGCGGATCAATAAGAGTTCGGTTGGCTCGTTACGAGAGGGACGTTCAGCGTGAAACAATGGTCTATGCTTTCCGCGTTTTCCGTTCCGCGGTATGAATCCGGCCAATGTGTGGCGCTCCATAGATTGTAGCATTGAAAACTGCCCGAGATTTTGGGATGTGTTATTCAAACGATCGTAGGTGAAAAGTTTTATGAGGGAAAGGTTCGATTCGAGTCCTCGCTATTCGGTAGGGTTTGTTTTCTGTGGCTGAACTATATAGTGTACACTTTTGGAACTTAAAGTGAGATAGATATGTGTTTAATATTTGGCGAAAGCGGGAAAAAGAGTTCAAGTGCAGTTTAGTACAAGAATTAAAAAACAGACCTATAGTAACTATATACGCTTCTCAAGCGTTGTGAAAAAATTCTAGATGACGCGATACTTTTAATTTTATCATGACAATCATGGAAGCCTCACGTGATTGTTTTACTTACTTTCCTCTTCAACTAAATTAAAATTTTACTACAGTTCTATATTTTTTGTTCTGCTAGCTTATACAATATTTTCTGCGTAATCTCATGATGCTCAGTGTTGTGTTATTTCCGTGATGTCCCAAAGCGTTTGCAGAATTAAAATTTTAAATCTTTTAAATGGCATATCTCACAGTTTACTAAAATAAATTATATATACAGATTATCCTGGACTTTTTTTCATGGTACAAATCTGAAAAACACGAACACACTGCAATTTTTTCAAGTAACCATTAAATCTTTTAGAAATTATAATTTCGAAGAAAAAACGGTAAAATTTGCTTTAAACAGCGCATAATAAATTGCACGCTCAGTTTGCGAAGTTGTTGGCACTCCAATGTGTTATGTCGACAAGTATTGATTAACCAAACTATCATTGAGATTAAGATCGAATGAAACCCTGTGGAATACTCTATGTAGGCCAACTAAATAACTCGCTACACGACAGTCTGTATAAACTCGCGAGACGATATTCTACGTGAATTGAAAAAGCTTTTTCGCATTGCCGCAATCTACAACCAATTGCAAGTTTACGTTTCTCCGACTTCAAGTGCTATTGAAGTTGTATGAAACTTTTGTGAGGTATGGAGCCAAATATAATTCGTTAGCTAGCCTTTCGAGCTCGAGAAATAATTCTACATAAATACATTCGTATTAATATATATCTCCTTACATTTATTTCGGTACACTTTGGTACTAATGTTATCATCACTCGCAGCTATTATTATTTTCATTGTGATGAATTAATTGAGATAAAATGAACTGAGATAATTATACCTCGCGGCGCATCATACAGCATCGATTCTAAATCGGCTCTGGCTGCACTATAATGCGCCAGCGGAATCCGCCCGCAGTTCTCAATGCTTAACTCAACGTCTTAAATCCAATAAGAAGAGGCTCGTCGTCGTCAGATGAAATGAGGTGCTCCGACGAGGCGAACGTCTCTCTTTCCCGCCGGCGAAATTAGCGTTTTCGAGTCGCTTGAATTATTCAACTACGCTGCTACATAGCCTTATCTTCCGGCTTTAATAATTTTCCCGGTCGTGCTGCAATTGCGGCACGCAAAAGTCTGCTCCATTTGCTACTGCATATCTGCCAGAAAAGAGTTCAGTTCCTCTTCTGAATTATGAATGCCGCGAGTGAAAGAACGCAAAGGATGTACGTCTGTAGGTCTAAGTAATCAAAAGGATGAAAAAAAAAATTAAATCTATATCCTCTTTAAAAACATTTTATAAAGATATTTTTTATTAGCATAAGTACTCTAGTGAACACGCAATATAAAGTATATAGACACACTAAAGTGACGGTGATCCTTTCAAAAAAATTCAAGTAATAAAAATATGTCTGATGTTTATTGCCAGTCATAGAATGATTTTGCATATAAGCTTTTTCACAAAAGTGACGTTCTACGCTGTCGCATATCAGTTTCTTGCAGCTACTTACAAGTGACGCTATAAGAGAGACACAAAGTTACTTTCTACGTGGATTAATGCACGTAGGCAGCTAACACCGAGGCGAAGTAAACGGCATTACCTCACCTCGGCGCAATAAAGAGGAACTAATTACACTCAGGGGAAAATGATTAAGCTCGAAATATAGGGGTATAGTAGCAGCTACATCAAGGTTGTATCCTGTTGAATAATTCTCATGGCGACTTCAAAGCGACTTTAACACCGTAGGTTAGCAATCTAAGCTTTTGAAAATTTCAACAGTGGGATGAAGAGAGCTTTGAAAATATCAAATATCTTCATACGTATAAAATAACTTCTTCGAACTTAAGCGGTATGTTTTCCCTTCGGAAGAATCTGCAATCATATTGTAGTATTAATGATGTAATAACGGCACTTACAGTTACATGAAAAATTATTAGTATTTCAAAAAGAAATTTGTCGCATACTATATATAGGTACCATCTACTCTCTTACAAAAATGAGTGGAGCGCACGTGTAACTCTCTGTAAATTGCGGCAAGATTGCCCAGAAATTGCACGTGCAATGAGTCGATCGATTTTACGGAAATAGAACCTTCTGTAATGCGAGAAACAAGGATATTTTCTGCTGCATACAATGAAATTATTGATAGTAATGTTTATTTTAGATAAAGAAATATTTTAAAGAATAATATTTAAAAATGAGAAAAGAAAGAAAGGTAATATAATTTTTTGCGTAAATAAAATTGAATATTTAATCGTAATTGTAAAAATTTTTAACGATATGATGAACTCATGTGGATTGAAATAATAATTTTTTTGTATGAATTATTAAAAATGTCAAAGTATGTGCAAAAATTTGTTTTTAATTACGAAGAGATGATCAATATGAATAAAAGTACATCCGATAACTGAGTGTTCACTAAAGAAAAATATTCGAAATTGAAAATAATCCCTGTAATTTTTTTTCGTTGAAAATTCTCGTTAAAAAAGAGCGATTTTTGCCGAGATCTTGTCTCTGCTTTTTATTTTTAAGTTTTTATATCTTTTGATGGAAACAAGCTACGACAAAATACAGTATTTACTTAATATCTCTCGAACAACAGGCCCGAGACAAATGTTAACACGCATCTCGCACGATAAACGAACATGTGTTCGTACATTTAGCTCTTATAAATGTGCAGATTATCTCGAATAGAATAACGCTTCTTTCTCGCGACCGATGCATGAAGACGACGTCGACTGGTTTTCTCTTCTTAGTTTTTCATAGTGAATCTTTGTAAGCTTCTCGACCACCGCAAACGAACAAACTTTCGGACCACGTTCGACAGTTTCTTCTATTATCTTCTGTTTTTCTCTACCTTGGCACCAACTCCTCTGAGTTGTCTCAAATTTTTAAAAAGGAGACAAATGAGTTTAAAAATATTGAAATAAAACAAGACGCAATTTAAATTACATTTAGTATTTTTGCAACGAAAAGACGATATCTTAATATAATCTTTTAAAGCGACATACGCATGTATTTTAGTTTTTCTTAGAGCAAATGTTTCCATTAAAATTAATCTCATTATATTCTTTTTCGGCTTTTGTTACGTCAAATTAAGTGTGTCTTCTAGAAATTATTTTTCGTTCATTCTGTACGTTTTATCTATGAAAATCGGAATATCTGCAAGAAAAATTGATGGGCACTATAGATACGGTTAGAAATAAGAAACAAATTTACTGAGCGAGCGTGAAGAGACAAAGATATATTTTCTCGACGTGACCTATAAAGCCTTTCTCGAAGTAACGCTCGAAAGTTATCATTCGAAGTCACCATGTAACTTTATATGGTGGTTATAATGGCAAGAAATGTAATTGTAAAGCTTGTCCTAAGTGCGCGGAGCCCTGCCTGCCTGGAAACGAGGTGGAATGCGACGACTTATTGCAGGCGGGCCGTTAACTTTTTCCACGTACTCGGCGTGGTTGGTAAACGTGGCTAAGCTGGATTGCTGTATCTCCTGTCTACGCCGCTTTACTTTCCCTGCCGGGTTTTACTCGCGGAATTATTATCACAGTAGACGAGATATACCGGAGCGGTTATTCAGCCCGAAGCGTGACGTTTTTACGGCCGTGGAAAGCGCTCTCGTAATCGCGCGGATGCATATACTGATATATTACGATACACTCTCAAAAATAGAGTGAATTTTTTCGACGACAAGAGAAGAACGATTTTGACAAAACCATCGATCGTTTATACTTATATGTAGTTTTGGGGAGCTGCGAATTTCACGGCAAATCATTGGAAGTTCAGTGGAGGAAGAGAGCTGTTCTATTTAACACCTGGGGATTCGCGTCGCTTAAGCTAATCGAATTAGCATCTTGCATGCCCGAGAGATTCGCCGAAGTATTTATTAGGCGACTGAGAACAAGCACGGATTATTCGTTGCTGTAATCGAAGGATGTGATACGGTACCTTCGAAAATTGCGATATTGAGTTATGGATAACTTGCTATTCCTCATTCAGTGGAAACTCAATATGAAACTCTCAATAACAACATTATGCGCCCATCTACACGTAGCTTTTTGCAACAGGACATTGTTTGCGAGTAAAAATTTTATGGACTAATTTCTATGATTGAAACTTTTGAAAAGAAATTCCATGTAACGTGTAACAAAATGAAGTTAGTAGCAGTATTTAATTTATTTTTTATCTTCTCTTTGTTACGTTTACAAGTTTCCAATCAAGATACATTTTTCTCTGTGCGAAAAAAAAAACAATTTACACGTCGATTCTCTGCAATATTTGAAGCCGTATTTAAATATATCGTTGTTTATCTTTTCAGCCGACAAAGCTCAACGTCTACAAGAACGATGCCGAAAGCTGGGACTACACAACGCCGACACTGGGTGAGTCTATCTCTCCTTTTTTCTTTCATCTCCCTCAGTTCTTTTTTTATTTCCTTCTATTGGTGTTATGTACGTGTAACTTCATAACACATCATTCCCCTCGCGTCCCTCGACATGCGTTTCAGCAATCGACAGCATGAAAGTGCAGAATCGGACAAGTCTGCTTTTTTGAACGTCACTAATACTTTTTAATATCAATCAACATAGTTTTAAATCTTTAAATTTTTAATCATCAAATGTTTTCAAATCTCAATTTTATGTATATCATTAACATATTTAAAATATGATTTTCTGAAGGAAATTTAATTCAGCTGTGTTGATGACGTATTGCTTAATTGTAGAAACGATATCTAGTGATTGATCAAGTTTTCATAAAACTTTATGCAAATACGATTTAACTTTGAAAATACTGGATTTTTGCAACAAACGATAAACTGCATTTATTGAATATAATAAAATTATTCATCGAAGAAGATAAGCTTGTTCGATTCTTGCATCCAAGTCGTCAATTTGATCGCATTCTCCAGAGAGGAACGGTGTTCAACTGATTTCTTCCTGCAGAATTCGATTTAATTAGCGACGGCCATTACGTACGTGCGAAACGCACGGAGGATCGTTCCCTACGCCGATTGTGTTGCGATTTCTCCCCTTTTTTTAGTTCATCATTTGTGCCGCTTCTGTGCCTCGTTGCACATAATGGGGAAAGCTTAATTGGATCAAACAGTATCTAGACGCAAAAAGGCTTCGCCCGCCGGCTTTGCTCGCAAGCTTCGAAGAAAACATTTTTTCTTTCGAATATTTTATTTGCCTAAAGAGAATATTAAGTGAAAATCTGCATTTCTGTCGTTCATTGAACAATTTAATGATTATAGATAACGTTTCTAAATTTTAAATTTTTATATTATTTAATTACTAGTTTTAATCCCTTCTTGACGTTTTCAATTCTAGACTAGTTTTAATTTTTCTTAATCATAATTGCTCGTTCGTTTGACCTTTCTACCACTTAAAAAAATTTCTTTATAAATATTCAATGTTAAACAACTTTCTGTATATCTGCGTGAAAAGTGATGGTTAAAAAAAAAGCTTGCAAAGTACATTTGGGAATCCATTGCAATCCGGTTTTTGAAATGAGAGCGTTTCCGATCGATTCGGAAACGCCGCGACAATGCGATGGGAACGATCCTCAAGCTTAAAAATCGCTCGACCGTCATACGCATGAATTCGTCGCGGACATTCACATATCACAGAATCCGAATAGATCTATCATTCACTCTGAAATACGAGGCGACGAGAGAGCAGGAATATGAAAGTGCGTGATAATTTGGACCACCCGACGAAACGTATAAATATTCCGAAGCGGCAAATTATATGCAAATGCATCGTAATAAATCCATATTCAAAATACATCTCGTTACAAGGGTATTGAATGAATTTTACGCGGCAAAACAGCGATGCACCATCGCGAATATCAACCCGGCTGGCAACACATTTCTCGAATTACAGCTCCGTATGCGGACTGCGTTAATATATTACGCTGAATAAAATGCAAAATGCATTTGTAGCGAAGTAATTATATCTTACTTTGACATTTAACGCTTTTCACGTGCAACGTGATAGTTTAACTCGTTTTGTATTACTTATACCTTATTATCCATAATGGGCTTTCTACAATAAAGCCATTACCTATGTTATAAGCCGTAAGAAATTGACCAATCATAGTTGATTATTCTTCTCACATTCAACTGTGATTGGATCAATTTCTTACGGCTTAGAACTTAAAGCCTAGGTAATGGCCTAATGGCTCATTGTAGAAAGCTTATATAAAATTAATCCTATATTATCCCCCCATTTCAATAACACACGGCTTTGCGAAAAAGTATATGGAACAAAAAGCGAATTGAAGTTGGGAACCCACGCTTAACAAATTATTCTTGTGAATCACGGTTCACTGACCAACGACTAAATCGCTCGCCCGAGGGCGCGAATGTGCGAGAGCAGAGCGCGGCCTTCGCATTGCAAAAGTGTAGCCGTTTAGCAGCTCAACGCCGCTTGGTTATGACGCGTAAATTATTTCGAGTTATCTTACGACATTAATTACCGCGTTTCTTTCTACCGCCGCTAATGAAGATTACCAACGCCACGTGGCAATCCTCGCCTCGAAGTATTAGCGCCGAGATAATCGCCCTTCGCGTCGAGGTGTTACGGTTTTGTCGCGCGAATTGAAGCGTCAAATAACAATTATACAAAGACAATTTAGACGCGAGTTTATTTTCGCAAGTAGATACCGGAAAAATGAAAAATCCTCCACTGAAATTATAGCTGGAAACAAGATTAACAAAGGAGCGACCTTCCGGTATTGTAGTAATATATATTAATCCTTTCTTAAGAAAAACGCATTAAATATTTGAGTTTTGTTGTCATAATAGACATTGGAACAGTATTTGAATAACCGTTAATTTTATATATTTGTAATTAATAAAAAAGAATTTTTTATTAAAAATCCGTCTAACGAAATTAAGCTACTTACATGCATTTTAAGTATACGAGTAATTCCTGTTTGAGTTAATAATCTCATTTTTTTTATCTTGAAAGATAAGAGGCTTAAGTCATGTATCATTTAGATTGGTATTCATAGTCTGTTCTTATTTCAAGATCGTTTTAAGTAATATCTTAAGATACGAGTCTGTGTGTTAGGTTTATGACAATCTTTATGACGATCTTAAATATAAGAACCGCCTATGAATACCAGCCTGTATATTGCAACGTATGCATTTTAGGTTCAGTGTTAAGTTCACAGAGTAATGTAGTTATAACTTGATGTATTATAGTAATGCCCTGAAACACGCGAAGAAAATTACTCGCGCGAATTCAAAAGTTAGCTAACGCGTAAACGCGCGTAAGACTCCCCGTATTGCTGTAATTAGCGGAAAGCAATTGCCGGAATATCGCGTGCCAGGTACAAACCTTACAAACAGAATTTCAGTCGAAACGACAATCGAGCAGGGCACTCGAGGATTTCGCCCCAATTACGACACAGGCTTGACGTTCTGTCATCAGCAAACGCCATCGACGGCGTGGCCTTTCGACTGCACGAAATCTCCGAGTCCTTAGAGATGGATTTCCGCACTAATTGACGTCCTTTCCGGACATAACGACGAAATTCGCTCGCTAAGAACTTGTCCTATAAGATACAAGTATCTTCATTATATTGGCCACGCTCTTCGCAGTCGTTCTCTCTTATGGGATTCATCTTCCGGATTGTCATTTCCATTTAAAACTAAATTAAAGTTAGGAATAAATCGTGAGTACATCTAGAATTATTATTTAGAAAAAAAAAAGATCGCATATTGGGAAAGTTATGTAATGATACTGAAATTTCACTGATTTACGTATTTTTTTCAAACAATGATTTTTTTTAATTTGATCCAAAAAATTATATTTTAGATTCAATAATCCAATTTCCCAATTTGAATTATTTTTGTGCATGTAAAATTATGTAAAATAATTGTTTGCAGAATATATACGCTCTTTTTAATTTGTTATAGTGTAAAATTAATTAAATTCCATTTTAAATATTTTTTATCAAAAAGTTATAATTTTTTTTTATTCACGTTATTGGCATGTCATTGTGTTATCAAGTTTTAGAAATTCGTAAAATTCAGACCACAAAACGTATAAAAGCTCAAACAAATGCAATATATCCATCCGCGTGACTAGATAAAACAATATCGGAACTATATTGATAGATTGTATCAATTTCTGGATAGTGGCTGTCTTGTTATCCCTGGAAGGAACTCGATTACGAAATCCCCTCCGGGATCCGCGTCGACAAACCCGTCTGCCGAACTAATTGCATCGGAGATAGGTCAGGTCGATTGCTATACTTCTAACCTTTCCAGCCTTGCATCCGCATCTCACGGATGAAACTTTCATTAGGTCTAGAGGCGATATCGCGCGGTTTCAACCGCAGCCTGCATTTCCGCGAAGGAGAAACGGCCGCGCCGTTTTTGCACATTCGAGATAGTGGGCATTGCATATCGATCCAAACGCCACCGCCAGTCGAGCCGCTTACCGTGAAAGTGGCGTAAATCAAATCCCGTGAAGGGTAATCAATTTAAACCAGTCATCAATAAGAACATAAGCTATTTAGTATGTATTTTAAAATAGGCAGTAGATTGCTTAGGTGTTCAGAACTTGAACTTCAGCTTCTAAATGAAGCATGTAAATGGGTGAAAGAGTAATATCGTATTCTTGCCGACGTAGTATAGTCGTTGTTTAAATTGTTAGCTCCCAATAAAACGAATGGAGCAACGAGCACGATCACGTTGCCGTAAACGTCAACCGAAACCCAAAATAAACCCGGCTTGCTTCACTTTTGTATTTTAATCAAATGTACGTGAGAGAGTGGCATTGTGCAACAACGGCGCGCCTCCATCCTTGCGAATCTCCGGGCGATTAAGATCCGCGATTAATCTGCTGCCTCTGTCGTCCGTTCAATTATACCTGCAGAAATAACGTTCGGCCGGACGCGATTAATCCCCCTCCCGATCGCGTTACCCTCAATTTTCTGTCACCGTCGATCCGGTATTCCGATTTGGCAACGGTAACGACGACAACAGACCGTCCTCGACAAACCGTCATTGGCTTCACCGTTCGTTTCCCCGTTCTCTGTGCGTATAAATGTCGCGCACAAAGGATGTCATCAACGTCGACGACGGCGAACAAAGCCAAGTTTGTTTCGAGAAAGTGGGCAGGCCGATGTGATTTTATTATACCCGCGCGTGAGGCATCTATCTGAAGCAGCATGATCAAATAAAACGAGTAACATTGTCACGATCGGTAAGACTCCATCCGCCTTTATCACGAGGATTGAAACTTCCAACGTTTAACGGAGAAATGAAAGCAAAAATAAAAATGGGAATCCTGAGCAAGCAAGTCTACATAGAAAAAAGTACTTGGTTGTCGTAATCAAAATTTGGTAAACCCAACCAAATAATTAG